AACACATATTCGGATAATGAACAAAACGAATTCTAACGAACACTTCTCGGCCTGAAAAAAAATTAATATTAAACATTTGTTATCATTTTGCATACAAAATAAGATCACTGAAAGGAGAAATGTTTAAAGCATGTTTAGTATTGATAATTACTAAATGAAACTTGAATTAACTATGAATTTAAAGGTCATTCAATAATTATTATTATGACTAAAATCAATACACATTTGAAATCGCTGATGTTACGAGACAGTATGACTTTAACAGGTCTACAGTATGCACAATATTAATTAAGAAAGATACCATCAAGAAGACTCAACAGCTGAAGGAGTAATGAAAATCACATCTGCGAAGCAAAGAAGTGCCATCCATGATAAAATGGAGAGGTTGCTTTTAGTTTGGATAAATGAACGGGAAATTAAACGAGATGTAACTAGTATGCCTTTCATTCAAGAGAAGGCTAGAAAATTTTTTGAGAAATTGAAAGAACAATCTCCAGGTTCGTCATCCGAGGAGTAAGAATTCAAAGCCACCACTGGCTGGATTACAAAGTTTAAAAGAAGGTCTGGAATTAAACATGTATTAATGCTTGGTGAGTCTGCTAGTGCAGATAAAGAAGCAGTTGAGAAGTACTGTCTCAAATGTCAAAAATTCATTGAAACAGAAGGGTATCGTCCACAATAAATATTTAATTGTGATGAAACAGGTTTGTTTTGGAAGCGCATGCCGAACAGTACCTACATCACGAAAGATGAGAAAAGTGTTCCTGGGCATAAACCTATGAAAGACCGATTGACGTTACTTTTGGGAGCTAACGCTAGTGGTGATATGAAGCTTAAACCACTTCTCGTTTACCACACGGAGAGTCCCAGAGCATTAAAAAAAATTCCATAATTAAAAGCAAACTGCCAGTAATGTGGAGATCGAATCAGAGGGCATGGATCACGCAGTATCTTTTCAAAGAATGGCTATTTAAAGTTTGTGCCCCGAGCATCAAAGACTACCTTGATACCAATGACTTGCCGCTGCTGCTATTGGACAATGCACCAGAACACCCAAAGAATCTTGAAGATAATTTGTTGTCAGACTTTTCCTGGCAGACAGTTAAGTTTCTACCTCTGAATACGACTTCGCTGATTCACCCGATGGATCAAGAAGTTATTAAGGCTTTCAAGAAATTGTACACTCGCGCGCTGTTTCGTCAGTGTTTTGAAGGAAGCCAATTCTCCTCAACAATGACTTTAAAAAAGTTATGGAAATAAAAATTTGACATTCTTGAAGCTATTCGTATCATTCAAAAGGCGTGGTCAGAAGTCACACAGCGACAATTGATTTCTGTTTGGCGGAAGCTGTGTCCATCCTTCGTTCAAGGAGATGGAGATGATCATGGAGACATCCCTGAAATTATGGATGAAATTTCGACAACTGCTAGAGATCTGGAATTGGAGGTGAACGAGGATGACACAGAAGAGCTCATAATGGGACATGAAGATGAACTGACGACAGAAGAACTCCAAAAAATTCTGAATGAAGAACACCAAGAAACACAGCGAAATGTGTCTCCTTCTGAACAAGAGGAAGACGAAAGAGGACCAATGCCGACATCTGCCATTAAAGATCTTTTGAAAAAGTGGGAGGATGTCAGAGCAATGGTCTTAGAATGGCACCCAAATAAAGCTGATGTCAGTGGGGTGGGGGATCTTTACAACGACAATGTTATTAATTACTTCCGGAAAATCCTGAAAAAGAGAGAAAAGCAATCGACATTGGACATGTTCTTCAACGCCCCATAAGCAAAAAATGAAAAGGACTGATTAATATGCAAGACTATATGTATGTATTATTTTTTAAAAAACTTACTAAAAAATTATACATTTTTTAAAATTTAATTTTTAGGGTCTCCAGAACGAATTAATCTATTTCACATAGAAGACTATGGTGAATCGATGATCGGTTAACGAACAATTCGGATATCGAACATAGTCTTGGAACGGATTATGTTCGTTAACCGATCACCCACTAAGACTGATAATTAGAGC